GAATAGCAATCTATCAGCCTCAGAGCGCTTCATGATGAGACGAATCTACAAATCCTGGAGTTTTGATTAATTTTTTGTATTACATAGAAGGCGTACTTAAGCATTTCTCCCCTTACAGGAATATAATGCCGTTTATGTTTAACCTTGAATCACTGAGGATCTAATCAAAATCAAAGTGTCTCATGATGACAACGGAAATCATGATACTCGCACCCAAGACATGAAATAATGACCTATCGTAACATGACTTTGACCGCTTTTAGTGAGAGTTCCATTGAATGTGAACCAGGATAGCGACCTAGTAGGAGCAAATGGTGGCTGGTTGTCGTGGCAACAGACGCCCTAGCTTGTGTTGACCCTAGCCCGTTCCACCGAAACATGGTTAAACAGCTGTACTATTTACTTTACCATATGCTAAACAGCCCTGCCACCATCATAACCAAGACCATATGCAGGCATCCCCTCCTTATACCGTCAACGTATTCGAGGTTCTACAAGTTTCAAACATTTTTGCTCCTTTGGTTTCATACTCGATCAAGCGAATGTGCAGCGTCTGAAGCATCCTCGAGGCTTCTTCTACAGCCTTCAACACCAGACTCAACTCGATAGAAACTCAACCACAAAAAGTTGCCCATCGTGGCTCCTCCACGCCCAACCCGCTCCGATCGGGAGCACAGCCGCATCGCCATGGCTCCAGGCGTGCGCGCTGCCACCGCCAACAGCAGCCGCTCCAGCGTAAGAGCTGGGTCAAGAGCACCACCGACACGATATGGCTCATCGCTCGCGACGCGCAACGGCGCCGTATCGCCAACTGGATCTATCGCTTCAGTGAACACTGTTAATACCATCGGAACTAAGCGCAAGGAGCGCGACTTTGAGGCCGAGTCTAGCGCCGAGGAGACGAATATCCAGGTCGTCGTGCGATGTCGTGGACGCAACGAGCGTGAGGTCCGCGAGAACAGCAATGTTGTTGTTACAGCAGATGCGGTCAAGGGAAAGATTGTCGAGTTGTCGATGGGCTCCAATGCCTTGAGCAACCGCTCATATAATTTTGATCGCGTCTTTTCTCAAGCGGCGGATCAAAACATGGTTTTTGATGATACAGTAAAGCCAATTCTGGACGAGGTGGGTTGAAAGAGCATACGGGACACAAATCTAGTCACTAACTGTCTTAGATGCTTTCCGGATATAACTGCACCATCTTTGCCTATGGACAGACAGGTACAGGAAAGACATATACCATGTCTGGTGACATGACCGACACCCTGGGTATGCTCTCAGACGAAGCTGGTATCATTCCTCGAGTCCTACAGACCCTGTTTAACAAACTCGAGCTTGAGAATGCCGAGAGTACGATCAAGTGCTCCTTTATTGAACTTTACAACGAAGAACTCCGCGATCTGCTTTCATCTGACGAGGGCAACAAGCTCAAGATTTTCGACGACACTTCACGACGAGGCCATCTCAGCACCATTGTTCAGGGCATGGAGGAGAAGCACATCAAGAGCGCTACCGAGGGTGTCAAAGTGCTCCAGGACGGCAGTTTGAAACGCCAGGTTGCTGCTACAAAGTGCAATGATCTAAGTTCTCGCAGTCACACGGTCTTCACCATTACCACATATGTCCGAAAGCCAAACGAGCACGGCGTGGATGCTCTTGTTAGTGCTGGAAAGCTGAACCTTGTCGATTTGGCCGGAAGTGAGAACATTCAGCGATCAGGAGCTGAAAACAAGCGTGCTGCGGAGGCTGGCCTCATCAACAAGTCACTCTTGACTCTCGGTCGAGTCATCAACGCGCTTGTGGACCGTAGCTCTCATATTCCCTACCGGGAGTCCAAGTTGACTCGTTTGTTACAAGACTCACTCGGTGGTAGAACAAAGACTTGCATTATTGCAACCATTTCTCCCGCCAAGAGTAACCTGGAGGAGACCATATCAACACTCGACTATGCCTTCAGGGCCAAGAACATCAAGAACAAGCCCCAGCTCAACCCTATGGTCGAGAAGAAAACACTGCTCAGGGACTTTACTATGGAAATCGAGAAGCTCAAGAGTGAGCTCATCGCTACTCGCCAACGCAACGGTGTCTATCTCTCGAACGAAGCCTACGAAGAGATGACGGCTCAAAGCGAATCTCGCCGCATCGTCAATGAGGAACAGGCTGCCAAGCTTGAGACCCTGGAAAACAACTTGCGCAACAAGGTCCAGGAGCTGTTCAGCCTACAGTCTACGTTCATGGGACTAAAGAAGGATCACGAGGGCACAAAAGCCCAGTTGGACGATACCAAGGAAGTGCTGGACCAAACCGAGATTGTTCTTTCTGCAACACGGAAGTCACTTGCCGAGGAAACCAAGATCAGAAAAGCACACCAGAAGACAGAGCAGAAGCTCACCGAGGTTGGCGGAGAGCTCATCAACAAGCTCCATAAGACAGTCCGCGATGTTGGTGGTCTCCATGCCAAGAACAAGCGAAAGTCGGATCTTCAGTCGATCAACCGAAACACATGGACAACATCTCAAGATCAGGTCGCTGATGTTACCTCCATGGTCGAGCGTCGTATCAATGAGTTTCAGGAGGAACAGCAAGAGCATATTGCAAGTGTCGGACAGCGCATGGAGAACTTTGTAGATGAGGAGCTGCGCAAGCTGTCTACTACACAAACTTTCCTCGATGAGCACTTGAGCACATTCACTCAGTCGAAGAAGGACTTGCTCCAGTCGAAGCAAAAGTCGAAGGAGGATATGGATGAGGTGTTGGAGGAGATCAAGGTTGTTCGTGACACGGTCAAGGAGCGAATGGGCGAGAGCCTGCAGTCTATCTCTCATTCTGCCGAGAGGATAGCGGCAGATATGTTGAATGAGATGACTGCGTTCCACGGACAGGTAAGCTTTTGTGTGACAGCTTTCGAGGCCATATTCTGACAGGTTGCAGCTTCACAACTCTTACAGTGCTATTGGAAAAGATTTCAAGTCCACCTTCGAGGATCTTGTTAAGCATATCACTGCTCAGCGAGCTGAGTGCGACAACCTCAAGCGACAGCTCCAAGCAGCAACAAATACGATTGTGCTACAAAATGCTACAATCTCTTCGCGAATTCAAGATGCCCTAGTGGAAGAGCGTCGCCAAGCCGTTGATGAACGTCAGAAGCTCATGAATCAAATAACAGCTCTTATCAACACCCATGCTGACGCTCAGGAGTCACGGCTCCACGACAGAGCTTCACAGATCCAGAAGAGCATCACGGCAACCAGCACCAACTTGGAGCAGGCCGTCGATACATATGGCGAGGGTATGTCAACGTGGGATGTGAGGGAGGGCGAGCTACTGGACGAGGTCAAGAAGTCTCGTGAGCAGCTTAAGACGAAGTTGAAGGATGACTGGACAGCTGCCAGTGACCACAGCAACTCCATCCAAGCTACTGCCAAGTCTGTTCATGCCGAGACTGTTCGTGTTGTCGACGAGCAAATCAAGGACCTCGATGTTCAAATGGAAGCGCTAGATGACTTTGTCAGCCGTGCAAAGACTGAGAACGGGCATCACCACGAGTCTCACAGCGTGTCCGTTCAGTCGTTGTCCAATACTGTTGAGGAGTCTTTCGGAAACATTTCATCGCACTTCAAGTCTACATTTGACCGTGTCAAGAACTTGGGCGAGGAGATGGAGCTCGATCTTGGCGATCTTCAAGACGGCTTAGAGCCACTCAATGATCAGCTCTGCCAACCGCTGGCTAACTTGCGCGAAGACATCACCCGCGCGGCCCTCCAAGAATACCAGCCAACTGGTGAAACACCAGCCAAGGTCCAATATCACTACCCCACTGACCTTCCTCGCACTGAAGACCACGATCTCATCATTTCACGCATCGACGAGGTTTCCACACCAACCAAGGATCGTGACGGGTCTGACAGGGATAACACCATGGTCTTTGCTGACCTTGACTGCCCCCAGAAAATGATGACATCGCCAGTCCGACCTCCGCCGTCTCGCATGTCCAATGCTAGTGCCCCTGAACACATAGGTCTGGCCGGAAGCCTTCGCGAAGTCAACCCCAATGTGCCAAATCACACAACGGGATCCATAGGCTTCGATCCTCGCGCCAGCATTATATCTATGCCCCCTGAGCGCACTTTGCCACTGTTTAAGCGCAGCACGCGTGTGACTCGCAGCGCCAAGAAGGTTGGAGTCAGGGATCCCATCATCTCCGAGGGCGGCGAGAATATGCTTCCTACCGCGCTCGAGGAGAGTCTGTCTAGGAGAAAAAGTCCCAGGCTTAACTAGAAACTCTTATACACTCTACTGTCTGTTACTGTTCCTTTGTTTGCAGGGCCTTTTGAATCTGGGAGTTTGGGGCGTTGTAAGGAAGCATCTCTTTGTATGGATGGGTTTCTTCATAGTTCGATTCCCAGCACTGTTGGCTGGGGTTTCGTTGCAGGGTTATTTGAGTACTTGATACCCTTTGACTTTTAGACAATTAAAGTAACGAATGCTATTCACATCATCATGGTCTCTCTTGTCTGCACCTCCCGTCTGCACTGTCTGTAAACTACTGCGGTATCAGTTAAACAAACATCAGGCTTGGGTGGTACATGTGCCTCAGCGTTGTTGGCATCAAAATTGAGGCTCTGTATGATAAGAAACATCATCCGGTATGGTGTAGTGGCTAACATTTCGCGCTCTCATAACCTGAGAGATCAGTTCCGCGGAGCCCAGGGTTCGATTCCCTGTACCGGAGTCTGTCTTTTGCTGTTTCTTTTACTTGGATGGAGGTTTTTATTGCCTTTTTATCTCCTCCATTGGGAGCATCTACTAAATAAAGATGGGTAAAGTGAGGAACTGTCAGGTGTGAAATTGTTTATTATTTTCTGCTGGATATTCGCATTGTACCATGCATGCCGTGAATACCTAATTACTAGGTAAGGCATGAATCAGCCAAAACCCTTTGCCTCGGTACTAGGCCAGAAGAATGTTGAACAACAGTGGCATTCTGAATTACACCTATTTCAGGAAGATAAATCCTCTTCATCATAGCTCGTCTCACGACTCATCCCAGGTTTATCACCGTAGAATCTCTTCCTTTTCCTTTGCATAGTGTCCTCGCCTCTCCAGCCCCTTCCTGGCACTATAGGCTTGAGGAAGCCATCCACATGCACACCACCTGCAACCTCCTCGTCACTGTCAAGCTCTTCCGTCTGTCCCTGATGTATAAGCTCCATATGCCGTCGAAGGTTTGCCTTGCGCCCGAAACCCTGTGCTGCGCGGTCGCACGAGGAAATTGGGCAAAACAACATTCCCCCTGCAGAGTTGGAGCGGGAGCGGGAGCGGGAGCGGGAGCTTGGAGACCGGATGGCTGATGTTGGTCCTGGAGAGCGTGTCGAGTGACGGCTGGGGCTTCTAACAGAGTCTGGGCTGCGACTTGAGTATGCGAGAGAGGCTTGACGAGATGCGATACGGCGCTGTATGAGATCTGCGGCATCATCGCTTTCGTCGTCGGCTTCTTCATCCGAGTAGGATAACTGGATAGGCTCAGGGCGATACTCGACGGAGGTGGTGCCTTTATCGTTAGTGGCTGGCACTTCGTTCAGGGTCCTCACTACCATTCCTTCACCAAACAAATCAGCACATCTTCGTGTTGCTCTCGCAATGACATCGCCCGGGAAACCTGCTATGGCAGCTGCGCCCAGCACATCGCTCCAATCACGCAAGCCCCATCTCAAGAGCTTCCGTTCAACGTTTGTTCCTGATATTGATTCCTCCCCCGTCTCTGTCCCTTGAGATGTCGCTCGTTTCAACGATAGAGATCGTGATCGCTCTCGCTCAATGATCTCGTCACCTTTGCGGATCCACTCCTCAAAAGCTGCGTCTCTGTCTTCCAGCGTCGAGGGGATCTTTCGATGAGATTCACGAGCAACACGTTGAAGCATCTCTTCATGTGATTCTCCAGCAAGAGGGACATGGACTTTTCGGGGGCGACCTCGTCTGCTTGTTTTACCAGCTCCTGATGGTGAGGTAGAAGCGGATGTTTCAACCTCATGTAGATTTTTTCGCGGACGACCACGAGACCTCTTTTGTCCACTCTGGCTATGGTTATCTGACTCCTCTTCAGTTGAAGAATCAGAAAGATAATTCATGCCTGTAAGACGCGAATTATGAAGTATTCTTAGTGTATTGTCCAGCTGTGATAAAATGTGTCGCGTTGATGGACGTAAAAGGGCAAAGGATGCCTCGTCATTGGTAGACTCGACTGGTTCATAAGTTTTTGGATTGCGACGTATACGCCGAGTATCTTCTTCATCGACAGCCATTTTTTCGTCTTCATCTTCTCCTTTACCTTCATCAGTGTCGGGCTTGGCAGAAGACTCGCGAGATATAGGATCAGGCGTGCTGTTGCTGCTCTCGTTATGTAGAGGCGTGGACTCATCTTCGATGGACGGTTTGGCCATCTTGCTCTTCCTCCTACGGAATCGACGCTTAGCAGTTCTCAAGATAGTGGCAGATATTTCCTCTTCAAGCTCAGTACTGGGTAGTATCTCTTCCTTTTTGCGGAATGTGAAATGGTCATCTTCGTCGTGCTGTTCATTGGTGAAGCACTCCTTGGGCACATGTTTATGTTTGAGCGGCCATGCAGTCCAGGCCTTGGGCGGTGCCCAAACGCCTTCTTCACCAGATTCCTAAGTTCCATCCATCGTCAGTGTATTCTACCCAATTGTGGCATAAAAGATGATATCGACTCACTGTTCTGACGACCAAATCCTGCGCTGTCTCCGGATTTCGGCCTCGTCGCTTCAGCGCAAACGCATTGTATAAATGCACCGCAAGATCCTGATCTTGAATCTGCTTCATTGATTGCCAGAGAAGCCTGTCCTCTTCTGTCAGAGTGCGCCATGTCGATTTAGCGCCCGTCCAGCGATTCGGTCTATGTTCGTGCAAGTCCTCAGAAGCGATAGAGGCGATCTCATCGCTGTCCAACTCCCAGGCTGTAGCGCTTGCTTCCATCTCGCCGGAAAGACGGGTAACAATGATACGTAAATAGAATTACTCAGGTGTAGATTAATCTCCAGGAATCACATTATCCGCGGGTAGTATTCTGCCAGGAATGGTTGAGCCAATATTTGTGGTGAGTTGAGAAGTTCAAGTTTTTTTCAGAGTGCGTCGCAAAGTAGAAGCCAGGCTACTACTATATCTATATATCCACTTGAGACAACAACATTCACTGACACAGCATTCGCTCAGCACAAATTTGTATAACCAACTCAATAAATGCTTTTAATCGCGTACAACTTGAAATCTATAGGAATGGTATAAAACAGTGCCTTAACATTACGCCTAAGCCTTGCCCTTGCCCTTGGTGGCCTTTTCCTTTTCAAACTTTCTCCTCTTGGCCCGTAGCTTCTGGTCCTCAGCACTCTTCTTGTTGTTTGTGTACACCATCTGCTCGTACAGCTTTCTCTTCTTCTTGCTGAGCATACCCTTCGCACGCTCCAGATCCTCAGCCTCTTCGCGAGCCTTCTTGGTGAGGGCCTTGCGAGCGTCCTCCTTAGCCTTGGCCTTGGCGTTCGTTGTCTTGGACTTGACAGCACCACCAGTGAGCTCAGCCTCAAGCTCGTCTTGCCGTTGCTCGGCATCTTCTTCCTCTTCCTCTTCCTCTTCCTCTTCCTGCTCGTCTGCAGAGAAGCCGCCAAACTCGTCACCCTCGTCACCCTCTCCCTCATCAGAATCAGCCACATCCATACCCTCAGCAGTATCGTCAACCTCATCCTCGCCATCGCTCTGGGCCTCAATGGCCTCAGCCTCAGGCTCTTGCTCCTCCAGAGGAACAGTGGGATCATATGCACCCTGGACGTTCCTCACGAAGGGGCTCAGATGGGGAGGAAGATCAGCCCCAGGAGCATACAGATGAGGCTCCTTCAGCTCGCCGTCGTTGACGCTGTCCCAAACCCATTGAGGCTGGATGTATGTTCGTCCTGGAACTCGTCGGTTGGCAGCAAGCTTCTGTGATGTCTGGTTGTCGTCCCCATCAGCCTCATCCTCAGCAGAAGCCTGGATAGGAGGTCGATCAACGATCTGGTGAGTGATATTTGGGTCGAGCTCGTTGGTGGTGAAAGCACCATCGCCGAGAACAGCGTCCCAGCCAACACGTCTGCAGCCGAAGGACTTGAGAAGGAATTCGAGGGGTTGTCGTGGGGTTTCGCGGGACAGGTAGATGGTGAGGTTGGAGAAGAGGCTGTTGGGGTTGTTTCCGGTGTTAGAAGGCTGGGGCAGAATATCGCCACCAGAGACTGCTGGCTCAAACTTATCAATCACACCGGCCTCTTGGACCTCGCCCTCGATCTGGTTCTCGGACGTCGTTGTCGACTCATCATCATCGTTGCCCTTGATTTTCTTGATAACCTTGTTGACAGCAGCTTGAACCTTGGGGTCAGGCTTGTGCTCAGCAGCCTCCAATGTCTTCTGTTCCTTCTCGTCGGCACCAACCAAGGTCTTGCCCTCAAGGGTGAAAGCACCGAGCTCAGCGCCAGCCTCATCCTTAGCCTGGTCGAACTTGGGGGGGTACTTGAGGCCAAGAGAGGTGTACAGTCGGAAGTTGACGAAGCCGAGGAGGGTCATATAGAACTCAACAAAGGTGCCCATGATACGGAAGTCGACATCGCCAACGACGCGCTGGTTGAACTTGTAGGGGACCAGCCAGAGGACCTCCTCGCCCTGGATGTTTGCCTGATAGTAGATACCCTTGATGGAGAGGAACGACTTGGTAACGCTCTGCGACACAATGAGGTAGTGCTGGAACTCAAGGCACAGGCGCTCGCAACGGGCAATCATCTTAGCGGGAACCGAGGAGGTGGAAGGCAAGTTGGCGAACAAAAAGAGCATCGACAAGCAGTCATCAAGATCTCGGATAGCATCAATAAATGTGGGATAGCGCTCACGAATGACATGGTCAAGAGTATAGCGAGGTTTTCCTGTCTTCTCAGGTCGCGAAGCATTGCCCTCCAGGCGAGCGGCGTCGGTGACATCGCCGCGACCGAGCGCACGAGAGATCTTCTTCTCAAGAACCTTCTGGTCGCGGAACTTCTGAAGCAGCGGCTCGTGGAGCAGATACTGGATGTCCTTGGTGTAGTAGAAGGTAGTTGAGCTGGTGGAAGACTTGGAAACCTTCTTTCTGCTTCGGGGCTCGCGAGGATAGATTCCCTTCCAAATGCATAGCTTTCGGAAGTCGGGAAGGCTGATCTGAAGTTTTCGAATCGCCTGGTTTCGAGTAACGTAGTTCTTGGCCGCGCCGGCCTTTCCCTTCTTCTTTATCCGAGGCATTGTTGATTGGAGATGTGGTAGTGTTGGTGGTTGGTTGTATCTCTCTGCGAAACCAGCGGGGCACTTTTTCCTAACAATCTTTCAACTTTTTTTTCCAACGTGAAATTTTATGCCAGCTTGTACCGCCCTGATCAGACGCTAGACCACAGACAGAGACTTCTCATTGGATGGTGGGACGCTCACCGCCCGGGGGCATGCTCAGCACCCTTAAGCGCATTTGCAGCACCTGGCATCGCCAATTCAGCGAATACAGTGGAGCTATTACCGAGCTCTGGCGAAAAGCTCCAGCGGCTCTTCCAGCGGCCCCTCTCCCGTCACAGGCACATTCCGAAGGTGGAGGGGCCGCCAAGCAAGGACGGGAGCTCAACCAGCCAAGTGGCCTCCAATTCAACCGTAACTATCGCGAACATCCTCCAGAACAGGCTGTTTATACCAACAATATTCGCTGGAGGGATGCAATGTCAGACACAATGACATTGCGAGGCAAAGCCAGCGTGTTCGCCGGCGCTGCCCTGCTCCGGCTTATCCTATTCCTTGCTTTCCCTGGCCTGCCCGATCTTCTAACAGGTCGCGTCGAGATATCCACCCCCGTCACAAGCTTCAAGCGATGTAAGTCTCAACCGGTCGTCGCATAACGAGCATCGAATGTAGCTTACTTACAAATCCCCAAGTGCAAGAAGGTCTATTCCTATATACGAACAATGTCTCGCCATACGATGGTGGTGTCTTCCACCAAGCTCCTCTTCTGTTGCCCTTGTTCTCGCTGCTCCCCGACGTAAAGAGCTGGCCCATCTTCACACACCTACTCTACATCGTCGTCGACCTCCTCAGCGCCGAGGCTCTGTATAAAATTGCCGAATCGGGTGTTGCGGGCAACTCGAAGCTATTTACATCGCCGCGCCGTGCCAATAGGTTTGGTAGTGCTGCAATTGCTGCTGGGTAAGGGGTGTCTTGACTCAGAGCTTCATGTATCAGAACTAATAGGCGCCAGCTTCTTGTTCAACCCATACACCATTGCGACATGTATAGGACGATCGACAGGCGTCTTCACCAACTGCGCCATTCTTCTTGCCATCGCCAAAGCTATCCAAGGATCTCCTTTCAACGCCATGGTCGCAATCTCTTTCGCATCTTATTTGTCTATGTACCCTATCCTGCTCCTCCCTCCGCTTGTTCTCCTTGCCTATGATTGCCAAGTTGAGAAGCGTAGGATTGCTTGCATCACTAAGTTTGCAGCTACTAATGTAGCCGTTGTGTTGGGGTGCGTGGTTTCGTTATTGGGCATGTCTTTTTTGCTTGCCAACAACTCCTGGGAGTTCCTGGCTCGCACATATGGCATCCAATTGACCTTGTCGGATCTCACACCTAACGTGGGACTGTGGTGGTATTTCTTCATTGAGATGTTTGACTCGTTTAGAGCTTTCTTCCTCGGCGTGTTCTGGCTGCATCTTGCAGCTTATCCCGCGGCCCTCTCTATCCGTCTCCGACCCCAGCCATTGGCTGTATTGACCATCCTACTGGGAATTTTCTCCATCTTCAAGCCTTACCCTTCGCTTGCAGATGCCAGCATCTTCCTGTCCGTGGTCCCTCTGTTCCGACATGTTTTTCCCCTCATGCGGTACGCTTTTGTTACCACCTCTACGCTGTTGTACGCAACATTCCTTGGGCCAGCCTTTTACCACCTCTGGATCTATGCAGGAAGTGGCAACGCCAATTTTTTCTATGCCATCACTCTTGTGTGGAGTTTGGGTCAGAGTCTGTTGGTGACAGATCTCACTTTCGCCGTGTTGCGAGATGAGTGGGAAATTGAGCGACCTGAGATGGTTGGCAAAGAGATCAGACAGATATAAATGATGATACAATGAGATTCCATGTGAAGTCACAAAGTGGCTGAGGGTCTGATAGCCCCTCAGAAAGATATGATAAATAGTTCGCAACATCTAGATCACGGGAAGGGGAAGTACTTTGGAGTTATCCCTCCGACGGAGGGTATTTGGAAGTGGTTTGTCTATTACACAAATGTACAATAGTTTTACATCGTTATCATCATTTCTAGTCCACGTCTGTATCAGTCTCAATGAACCGAGCCTGGTTTGACGGATGAGAAGGTCTAGGTGCTTCCACTGGTCCTCCTAATACACTGCCCAACATGGAACCCAGGGCACCAAACTCGCTGAGTTTGGAATAGTTTTTGTGTGAATGCCACACTTGTATCCGTGATCCAAATGGCTGTAGCGCCTTGTATGTGTGGTAGCCATAGCCAAGAGCTGCACCTGTGGCAAGGAGACTCAATGCCAACATGAGGGATCTGGCATCAATGCCAGTGATACCTCCTTCAGCACGTCTTCGTACTTCGGTCGCATACTCATCGCCGAGGCCAGGAACGTTGTGAAGGATGCTGTCAAGAGTTCGGCTTCCAATGCGTAACACGGTGTTATTACCAGGCTCAACCCACGGCAAGAGTTTGGACTTGTCCAGACATCTTGTCTTCATCCTGTCAACAAACGTGGACAGCCGAGGTGTCTTCTTCATGAGCCAATCTTTTAGGAAAGATCTTGGTACGGGAGCATCACGCATCAACGCGAGATAGCCAAACGCCAAGCAGTCCAAAGATGACATTCCTGTACCATTGAAGAAACCATGCATCTTCTCCTCGGGTCCTCCGTCAAGGAAGTCGTCTAACACAGTGAGGCAGTCTTCTGTGATTCCATATAACCGTATAAGAACTGCTTGTTCAGGGGTCATTTCTTCATGAATAGTCTTCTTTGTCCTTACAGGAATGTGCCTTCGGAATGTCTCTGGTAAAGCATCTCTCCCAGAGGATAGGTGAAGGCCGCCATTGGGGTCAAAGTCAGTATCCATATCAGCAAAGCCCAGGTGCTCAACACGTTTAACAGCCTCGGCACGGAGCAGTGGCGGAACTGTCCATGTCAATGGGAAAGATAATAGAGTGCTGAAGGCGGGCCGAGTTGTGGCTGACCAGTTGGCAGCGGAGACATAGAGTGAAAGATCCAGCAAGGGAGCCGCGTGCGCAGACAAGAAGGCAGCATATGCAGCACGATCAGCCTGCTGAATGTCGGTCAGGCCAGCATCCAGATTGTCACCGATAGACTTGTCAGTCAAGTACTCGACAATAGGACCGAAGCCTGATACCCATACGCCCTCATGATACAGTGCTGGTAGTGTATCTGGTTGCAACGGTCAGCAAGACAGGGTTCAGTCAAGGCAGCGGTAATGGTAAGCCATACTACACGGGCTGACGGAAGGATCGTTGCTAGGAATCAGGCGCCAGGCTGATACAGGGAGGCTGCTGTGCAGGTATGTGATGATAGCAAGGCACTCGGGGTCAATGGACGGGAGGCCAAAGGCGGAACCCCATACGTGAAGGTCTAACATGGCTGGCCAGGGTCCGATGATGAGGCTGTGAAGCTATCCCAGGTTGTCTGTAGTTATACCACAGACGTCATGTGCTCCCGAAAGCAAAGGTTGTTTTGCGGAATTCAGTCCGCAGTAGCAGAAGCGCGCGGTAGTCTGAGGCGGGCAGACGGTATAGAGTTTTGTGATAGATCTCGTGGCGATACGCCAATATCACCAAGTAAGACTTAGTTGATCCTCGGAGGCCGGGGAACTCTGCAAGGCCTCACAAACGCCAGCCTCGTGGTTGTTCTTGTCTCTATTCGACGAGCCTAGCAGCGCCTAACAGAATGCCCCGCCCGCTAGGAGTGACAGCGCGTAGCCACGTGATTGATTTTCGCGCCCAGTATCGCTCCATAATTCGTCCATAAGTGACAAAATACTGCATCGTGAAGGTTAATTTTACTATGACAGAACTCTAAATTCTCTCAGAAGCTCAATTTGGCTATCTGTATAGTGATTTTGTCTGGCCTCCACACCGTCGGATCGGGCTTTAACATGATACAGCCTCCCGTCCTGTCGGCCAAGTTCGAGCCCGAAGTACTTGTCCTGATCTGGTATATCATGACCATTGGCTTTTCATGTCATGGAGACGGCTTTGCCTTGTCGCAAGTGACTGACTCTCCCGTCCTGAGTCCCTGAAGCCACTAATACCCACTTCGGAGACATATCATATTCCTAACCGGGAGACATACTTTGACTTGAAAGTCTGATCTGCATACCAACCTCATAGCGTTGTTTCGCTGTTTGCTGAACGAATATCAATCAAGAACCCAAAGTTTCGGAGATAGACAAGATGGACAAGAGCTGAATGATTACGGTATGTACGTTGGTGTTTCAACAGCTGCTCTCAAATACTAGTGGTCGACATGAGCCACATCGATGGGAACGTCTCACCAACAAACTTACACCAACCGCCAGAGCAGAGCGGAAGGGTACGATGCCACAAAGCCTAAACTCCAGGTATTGAGGCACCACTAATCACTGCTCACTGCAACTAGCTTGTGCCATTCATCCATTGCGTAATTGGGCCGATGGCAACGAGTGATCTTCGCCCAGCTCCTTATTTCGACGGACAATCAGGCCTTTGTCGGTAATCTTCACCCGTGCCCCTGAAGCGGTAACAGAACGGACATTGACAGCGATCGTCAATCTTTGAGACAGGCACAGGAACATGACGAGGGTGATGGAGCAAAAGATTTGGCCATGTTCGCCACATGGCAATTAGACGATCCAAATATGTCAAAGATAAGCAGCCTCATAGTCTTGATGGGCGTGACCGCCTGTTTCATCATTTTTTTCAATGTGCACGATCGTCTTTTTCATGATTATCACTGTGAGAGCCTAGAGTGGCAGAGGCAAACAATTGAAGCAAGCAAACTACTGCAAGCCAAAAACTCCAATACCATGAACTTGGATTTCTTCACCTTCAGCTGGTACCAATCATGAATCATCCCAACCTGTTGGCTGGCTCTTGACCTTGGACCTGGAACCCAACTAACTATCAGCCCGTCTCACTCTTTGCTTAGAACCAGGACTCGATGACAACCAACTTGAATAGGGTCGGCCAACAAACCAATTGCGGTTGTGAAGGCTGAGAGGCTCCCGCTGGCGTCGCGCCGGCTCAGGGCCGGACATAAAAGACAAAGAAAAACCACTAATGTTCCCTGGATTGCCATTGGAGTAATTCCGATGCCATTCCGCACCAAGAGTTACAATGTGCCGTACCTTGTACTAACGTTAGGTGGCTCTTTTAGGGGGAGATCAGATCACACCTCGAGGGGAACTAAAGCGAAGCGAACGAGTTTTTTTCTCTAAAAGATGACGATTTGATGAATCTCGTCTTTGTCTGCCCCTCCCCCCGGTGACATCTCCAACTTGGGGAAAAGGAGACGATCAGCGCCGGGTTTCTTACCTTGTAAGCCACGGCATGTCCGGCCGCAGTTGAAGACGGGCAAGACATGATAGTACAAGGCAATTATCACTACTATCGTTAGACATTTCAGGGCAGCCGCAGTAATGTATTGCGCAAGCGGTCAGGCTCCCCTGGTAAAGGGGCCCTGTAAGTTTCAGTTGTCGTTGAGGCGAGCGTCAGCTGTTCGGATCGACGCTGCAGAAGCGCGGCGTAGGCATCAAATGGTGAGGATTGCTATGTAGGGCAAGCGAACTGCTGTTTCTGTGCCTGTGCCTGGGCCTGGCAATGCCCAGGAGCCAAACCCAGCTTAGGCACAAGTTTATGAACAATGACAAAGATTGTACGATGCAAGGGAGCTACGTACTGGGCAAGGATACTCAAGATCACGAGGCGCTATCGAGACAGGGGGTCACGGTGATTTGAGCAACGCAATTGACATTTCGCTTTTTAGGCAATCAGGCCCTGGAGTGACCCGTCTGCCAAGCAATTCCTGGCTCCGGAGATTCGCAAAAGGAGAGACACGGGAAGTAAGAGAAAAATGAAAAATGGAAAATGAAAAAAGAAGGCAAGGCATTTCGAGTCATCGTTGCGAGACAAAGGTCACTCTTTTGGATCTTGTTTGTTTAGGGGCAATTTCAAGTTTGATTGAGTTCGCGTAAAAAGTATCCTGGTATCTCGTTCCATTTCCGTCAACACTGAGTGATCAGTGGACATAAACATAAGGTAATCCCATTTGCTCCTGAGGATAATCGGGTGTAAATAGCCAACCCCCATCCCAAATGATATCTATGTTCCCAACCAACGTGTTCATCATAAAAACAATAAGCCCACATGCGCGCAATGCCAAAGATAGTGGAACAATGCGGTGTATGTTGTGAGACGCCGTGATAATGCCTGTCTATTGATACAGTTCCCTTGAAAGACTGTGGAACAAATTCCTCCCAAATAGTGATGAACGAAGTAGAGAAAGGGTGGTAGTAAAAAGGTTATTAGATAGTGTAATAAAGGGTATTGTAACGGTGATGCGCTTAGTGAATGGCGCACGCAAAGAAGTGAAGTTGAAGAGTCCGGTCGGTCCAGCCATAAGGGACGATGTTGGTGAATAGACCGGGTCGCGAAATGCCTGGGCAAATGTGGCCAGGAAGATCCGGTGAAATCAGGTTGTTTGATTCGACGGATGAACCAGTCGAAAGGCGGTAGTATTTTTGCGTGCAGGCGGCTTGCATTGCATACCAAATCCCAGAGTGGTTATGATAGATTATGTGCATGTAGGGGTTCAGTCGTAGTTCGCATGTGCATATGCGGCGCGGGAGGTCGCAAGAGCCGGGCGAACCTTGTCCTTTGCCATTGTGTAACCGAGGACGAGAAGAGCTGAAGCCAAGAGCCTGCCTGTTGGTGTCATGTAGTGGCGGTTGCGTGATCCCGGAGAAAGAGGCTGAAACCCAAGACAGATGCTGGTAAACTGTCGATGCTGTCGATATGCTTTAACCTCGCTTGGGAAGAGCAGGCAGAGGTCGGTTGGGGGGGGGCCCGGGGCAGGGAGGAAGCTGCGAAGGTCGTTGAGCAGGCATGTTGATGGAAGTTGAAGATATAGCTTCGAGTTGATGTGATTGATGTATTTTGAGAACCGAGTATAGATAGCTCAGTTCAAGATGGTGTAGGTGGTGTTTGGTGGTTGAGTTGATCCGAGTGTATTGATCAAGTGGTAGTAGTAGTTGTTGTAGTAGTAGTAAGTAGTGTAAGTGCTCGAGTGTTTGTAAGTTGATTTGATCTAAGTGAGCTAGTAGAGGCCAAGAGAGAATGCCTGAATAGATTCTTATTGAGTCGATGATGTGAATGATCGGTCGTGGGGAAGAGGGAGGTCGCTGCCCTTTTAATATTCCTGGCCAGGGCACTCTGGTGTTTGGTTTGTGCCTCCAGCCCAGCTCAAGCTCCTAGCCAAAAGGTAATCTGAGGTGAAGCAGCCCAGCCAGGGCAGCCAGGGCGCAAGACACAGGGCACCACTTGGAGACAGAGACAGGGGGGCCAGAGAAGAGGATTAGGGGGGGTGTGCCTGCACGCCCTCAGCCCTCCAGGAGATGATGAGGACCCGCTCCAGGACACACACCCCCTATACCCATGCCATGCCGTGGGCCATGCCACGCTGAAATGTGAAATGGATGTCAGGACGGAGCTAAGGCTCTCTCGTACGAGGTAGATACGTCAGTTGAGGTACTTTGGCTCTAGGTACCAGAGCCCGCCGGACACCACCTGAAGCAAGCGGGCAGTCAATTGACAGCCGAGCATTGGGGTTTCCTATCCAGCTATTCTGGTGCGGTGTAAGAGAATACGATACACCTCCTATATTGTCTCCTTTCCATTGGCAAGCTTCTTGCTAAAAACGAACGGACAGTGACAAAAAATAGAAATAACGGAAATTGAAACAAGCAAACGGCCGATGGCACAATACGGAGTAGAACAACCAGACATGGAGTCCCTTTCTACGTTAGCAGTCAAGCCAAGTCATCAGTAATCTGCCCCTGTCGCACAACAAAGCGCCCAGTAATTCAGTAAAATCCACCATTTCATTCAATAATTAATTAATTAATATTGCAACTCACAATTAATTACATGCTGTCCTGTCTCTCGATATCCATCCTGAACCCTGTGCATGCAGTAGCACAAATGCAATGTGCTCGGCCACATTTTCAGTCTCTATGTGTTTGTCCTCACCGATGCTGCAGATGCAAATGTGCATCAGTTAGCTCGTACAGCACAGCAGTTTACTCTCACTGCCCAGCCTAAGATGGTCTGTCTCTACCAATACGACGCCCTCAATCATCTGCTTCTGCTTGTACGACACGCCCATTGGACTTTTGAATGCCGGTCGACCCCAAAAAAGCAATAACGCGGGCACTTTGTAGATGCCCATTATGACGATTCCTTGCTTCCTACGGCGCATTATCAGCCTTCTATTGGATATCGAGAGATCAGCTGGGCTGCCTAGCAGGCTGCCAATGTAGCACAGCCAGCAGCCCGTAGTGTAGTGTTCGATGCAGTCAACTCAAAGCTGACTGTTGCTGGTATGTCCTGGTAATGGTACTGGTTATCCAATTGATGCGTCCAAAGGCCACGAGTATCATGAGCCGGCGTATACTTTGGTCCAGCGCTATCAACCCGCCAGTGTAAATCTTAGGAACCGGCTTCCGCCGTGGAGGCGCACCAAAACTCTAGATCAGTTCTCCAAGGAGAGCAACTCAGGAAAACGAAACCCGTCGTTGTCAAAACAAAAAAAAATCTACAGCGAAGATCAAGCCCAGACCAGCCAGTAAAGTCTGTACTGATTCATTCCAATGAGTCCGGCTACCGAGCAGTTTGATTTTGCTTCTCCGTGGCAGCCATCACCTTGGTAGCGCTATTTTTTTCGACAAAACAGGCAATTCGACGAAGATACAGTGGTCGACGCCCATCTTGGCTGGCAGAACGGCTTAGACGGCCTGCGATCCTCGTCAGCCAAGCAGTGTGAAACAGGCGAAGCTGGAGAAAGACTGGTTCTTTGTTGGGGGGTTCCACAGCAAACCCTGGTATAGAACGTCGCATGGAAGCTTTGGAAGAATTTCACCCTGGCCAATTGTACAAGATTGAGATTACGCTCTAGCCCTCCTCGCCTAGACTCGCTCTCAGGTGGATATGCTGCCCAGGATGTTCGATGCTCGCTGAATGACGTCTAATTTCGGTGGTCCATGAGCCTGAACCTTGACTGTCATGCCCCCGTTCACATGTGAGTTGAGATGAAGCGTTGGTTAAAAAAAAAAAAAAAAAATAGACACAAATCTCACCAAACCAAACGCCCTGCCTGGAAAAGCTGAGACCAGGGGGCGGCGGTTTTCTGTCACCGCTTGGTTCATGTCACAGTCACACACAAATGGGTCAACCAATTTGCGAATTTCCATCGTCAGCTTACTGGCTTATTCTCAACAACATTGATTAGGGCTGAGTACTATGCAGGCATGTCGGCAGGCGAGATCTTGACCGCTGAAAAGAAGCAACTTTGGTATGTGGATATGATATTGGCTGACCGATATACATCAACTAGCGAACTAAAATTGGGAGCTGCATTAATACTCCGTACTTGGGCCTTCATGCTGCTGTCGGTCTGATAGATGCAGTCCAGACCCTCAAGGAATAATTATTTCGATTGCGGGGGGATATCCATAGTTACGTTGGTGTCATACGAATTTTTACCTCTAACGCAACTTAACTTACACTGACCGATCATCTGTCTCGGTTGTTGGTGCCAAAAGGTCTCAGATCGATAACACGATACCATACCAACCATACCGCAATACAACCTAACACTGGCGTGTAACAACACGTGTTTGTCTGTCCAAGCTGGCATGTTTCTCTCTATGGCCAAGCAAGCAATGGAGGGTAATCTCTTTTCCATATCGGAAATGCCACCTGATTATCTGACTATTACGGCGTGGACTAGTCTAGTGATGCGTTCGCCGTCGTTGAAAATAAACGTATTCGTTTCAGGTTACTCCCTGCTTCTACTGGTATTCGGCATATCGCACCGGTTTCGCGGCCCAGAACTCTCCGCAAGCCTGGGCACCACGGCTGGCGAGCCTCTAACGCACTTCACCTATCAATTCCGTGTCGTAGAAAACTTTAAAAAGAGAGAATAGAGGTGTAGCATTGGTCTGGCGGGCTCAGGATGCGGGCCGCCTTCGGTAGAAGCGTACCGAGCATTCCAGTGCCCTTCTAAGCGATGGTGAAGAGCGAGAATAAAAAAACCTTCGCTTTGACGTTTGCTCTCCCGACAGTTGAGAAGGCCAAAAGTGTAAATGAGGACTACCGTAATCTGCGTGCCTGTGCCTGGCTACGACACGTTTTTTCCCGTGTCATGGTGCTTAGTGAGACGGCGATGTTGTGGTTTTACGAGGTTCCTTGGACTGACGGAGAAGACCAAAATAGTACGATGTACCGCTAAGCCGTGTAAGCCATTTACAAAGCATGGGGTTATTCTTACAGATCTATTTCGCCGGGGGCATATCGAATGCATCAGTGTCTCGTGGTATTGCTGTGCCGCCGCCTCTTTCTTTTCTCTGCTTCCCTTCTGTTCTTTCGGTACGGATACATTCTGCAGCCCTACATTCACGGTCACTTACACAACCTCTTCAAAAACATTACACGGCAATGTATTCGATACATACACCGGGGTTTGATGTTGAGTGGTTCGCAGGTGACACTGCCCAACCCAGGCTCTGGATCTGTATCCCTGCCTGCCAACTGTGTTTCCCCAATCCCATCATGCACTTCTGTAACCCCAGTAGATTGATACCTGCCTACATCTGGGGGTCTTGGATGACTCACACTCTTAGCCTTGTGACGATGTTGTTGTCCAATTCTGACCTTAATCCCGACTGTGCCGGCAACGTTGCGGTATACAACCAAGAGGAGTAAAGAAACTCAGGACCTTGATCCAATACAGGTAAATGATGAAAAGACTTAGGTAACTCGGCATAGGTTTAAGATGCCTTTTGCTAGGTTTATTCTGACACCCTACACGAAGATCCGATCTATTCTTGCTCCCCAAGAACAACTCGCAAACACATGCAAGCATTGGATGTCTCTTTTTTTTCTCATTTTCTCATTGGTCTTGGCACGGAGGCTCAGCATTTAACGGTGTACGGTCAACGTTGTTTGTAACCCCCACAGGAGAGAGGGGGGCCAGAAAGGACTGCTTATTCGTATTCAAGGCATGCATGCTCTTAAGGTGAAATGAAACCTCCACTCTGACCATCCATCCATCGGTTGACCCCATTATTTTATGTATGTAGCAGATCTCGCTTCGCTTTCTTTGTCGTGCTCGCTTTTAATTATTATTAATCCCACTCCTGTGGTCCGTAGACCTAATCAAAAAGACCTCATCTCACCGCGATTGTGACTGTGCGTTCGAAGCGAGCGCTTGGGGCGCGATATCACGCTGAGTGCGGTCAAAGATCATCGTAATGAAGTCATAGGGGTCCTACGTCTGCTGCACAGCACATGCCGCAATTCCATGAGCCTGGTGAACGCGTGTTTGTTAGTTGAGAGTGGGTTTCGGGTTGGAAGAAGAAAACCTGAGAACCAAACGATTCATGAATGGTCCGTGTAAGTCTAATAGCTCCGAAACTTCCGAACAGATGGTCAAGGCCTTATTTTCTCTACTTGCTGTGGACTGTCACTTTGTATGTGGGTTTGATTAGAATTGTTCTATGGACGTTCCATGGCTTCCATGGCTGTGGATGTGGATGTGGACGTGGAATGAGGTGCCACGCCTTGACCATGGATGCCACGAAAGAAGAAAGAAATGCCATGGTTGGCGTTATCGTTTGCCGACTGAGGCGTCAGGGCCAACACCGTCAGAGCATGGATGACCTTCGATTACCGAGAGGACATTCTGGATCACCTCACCTCACACCGACAAGAGCCCGGTCCATCTCGTAGAATATTCTTTGGAAATTTCCAAGGTCGGGATTTGATTCTAGAGCCAAGCTCGGACTTGAATGAAATAAACGGAGCAATGCTACGTGTGTCTCCTAGGTTCCCGTCCGTCTGTGGCTTGGCTGAAAATGGTGTTTTCGGAGATGTCACATTAGCTCTTAGCTTACCGCCAATTTGGTTCACCTTATTTTTTTATTTTTTTATTAAGTTGCTGCACTGCGTAGACTAGAGGCTAATAATCCTATAAACTACCGCTATAGCTAAGCCAACGCGGGCACTTGCACCCGCTGCCTTTGAATGTGCTGGCCGATTATACGCTCACGTATGAATACGCTGGGGCAGAAAAGGTGACAAGCTTGCATGATATCCATCGTTTCTGATCCATATGCCGGGTCTTTGTGTGAGTTGTCTATGATGCAACGGACTTACACGGACAACAATCATCAGAAACATCATGCACGACATCCCGTCAGTGAGCAGGTTTGGGCATCTACACGGCCCAACCCAGGGCTTGAGCGTCTACTCCTTCAAAAGGAGTGGACGATATTATTCATACCCACTGAGACTGTACCGAGCAACGGTCGGTACATGAGGTTTGAGTATCCATTTCCATTTGGTCCACGCTGAAAGGAAGGGGTGTGCGTGCATGCAAGCCAATCTTTGTTCTGAGGCGCCAGGCAATGCCCCTGTAATTTTTATTTATTTTTGCCATCAATAAATTTCCAGCTGGCAAACTATTGTGCACGTGCACTCAATTGACGGCAGCCTTGCTGACTGTACAAACCAACATACCCCTTCTCCTATGTCGTACTTCTGTTGGGAGATTACATCCCTGGACCCTGCATTGGCGATGTCTGAACTATTCATCCCTTCGAACAATGATTATCTCCACCAGACAGTTCAATTCAGCCTCAATAATAGGTAATCAGAAACAAGGACCAGATGCAAGCCCCTTCCTCGTACATAATTCAATTAATGAAATAATTTGCCGTCCGGACTGTTTTGTGCCCCTGACTAAAAGAACGGGTGGTGGCAAACTCAGCACTAGCGGTAAACAGAGACGGTCCAACGGCTATTAGGGCAGTTGTGCAGTGAGCCTTGGAGGCCTTTCTTTGATGATTGATGACGAGGCTGGGTACAGTACGCCTAGTTTCATCCCAACTTGTGCCGATATCGTCCTCCTTGAGGTTGTGATCTCCGTCCACTGTATCAGCTATTTGGAAACCAGGGGTCAGTGTGTCACACTAGCAGTAAGATTTTTCTTTCCTTTCTTCTTCAGACTATTCCTCTCCATATTTTCTTTTTAATCTGGGGTTATTATTGAGATGAGACCCAAGACCCCGTGCGTGTCAGTTCCAGACCGCCGGGTTTCTGATTGAAATCTGCTTCACCGACTTCCTCGGGGGCATTGTATCTAGAAAGTGGGAATGGTGGCAAATTGGATGGCAATCATGGATACCGCCATTGCGTTTGATTCCTGAGCGGAACCGTGTTGCTGAAAATGTGATCTTCACTGGCATCGATTCCGCCCTGTTGTCCGTTTCATGTCAGAACCCTCTGACCCGACAATGAAGATCATGGCTTAAAGAGTGGCAGGTGATCGACTCTTTGTTGTTCTGCTTACAGATCAAGGACGATCCAGTCACTTTCGGGACTCGGCTGTTGAATTGATAGGTTTCACCGTATCTGATATCTTTGATCAGTCTATAATCTTACTGGCTAGACCTGTTGCAAGAAATGCCTGCAGCGATCAATCATGAGTGATTCCTCTAATGCTACCCTGAGTATTTAGTATCTCCAACATCATTGGTACGTTGGAGTCATCTGACGCGAAACCATCAGCGCTGGCGAGTATTCTGCCTTTCTCGGCAGTTTTCTCCGGACTTTGGCATAAGGTACAGTAAATAGTATACGTACCGACATAATGTCCGTTCCGCCGTGCTGGTAACGTACTCTACCCCTTTAGGTTGCCGTTACCTTTTGCTTTGCCGAGATGAGAAAGCGGCCGCTCCTCTCAGACCAATTGACACCGTCGTATTTCTGACAAGGAACAGAGATCACCGTAACCCGTCTCAAGCGTGTTTGGGGTTTCTCGGACCACTCACAGTCAAGCCTGATCATGCTGCACATAGACATCACGGAGACGCCGTGCCTCGGCTCCAGATGAGGCTTAGGGGCTTCATGTCTTTGCCCAGCCAGCCTCTTGTCCACAGACCGTTGAACTCATCCAGGCGGTCGGACTTTAGGAGGCTTGGCGGAACCGTACTTGACGCCTCAGCCGGGTAACCACGAGTTGGAAAACTGGTTTTTGTGAGAACTCTGTCCTCTCGTCTTGAAAATAGTGCCGACGGCATGACTTCGAGAACAAGTACCGTAGCTTCTCGCCGATTTACTGGCCCATCTCCGTCTAGCGTAACGAAGCCAAGCCCAATATCTTGGGTTCTAGTCAGTTTAAAAACTTCCTTTGCTTTCATTCATTCGTTGCAAGTCGCCGACCGACCGACCGACCGCCGTCGGGACCCTCCATGTCGGAAGAGTCTCCCGACTTTTGACTAAAAGTCGGCGATCATGTCAGTGACATTTCGATGCTGTTAGTTGGCTTCAATAAAGTTGACCGACCTGCTAAGCTAATAAACTCTCAGCTACTCCGTGCAATGTCTCAGTCTATAGCACTGCCGGCACAAGACGAGTTTACGACAGGTCAGGTCAGGAACACGCAAACGCTAGAGCTGACGATATCCTCGTTCCCATAGACAAAGGGCCCTTGGGACGAGGTCAAAGCCACATCCCTTGAGAAGACAATTGGTTCTTCAAGTTCAGCAGCCAGCCACAGCGACCAAATGGGCCACACCACCTGCAGCGTTACCATCACAGCCTAGACAGGACAGGACAACCCACAAGGCTCTTGTTCAGCTTTAGGTAGAGGCAGGGCTGTCAAGCCACAGGACCCAGGGGCACGCACCCTCTCCACGTGGAAGTCAGGGGATACGTATGACGATGGCTGCTGTTGTGTGGCGTCCCCTGACGATCCCTGTTCGTGTCCATCATTCTGACGGACATACAAACGGATACAGCAATGTCCTGTACCTAGAGTCCCTGTCTTGTCCTTGTCTCAGGCTCATGTCGTCAGCTTCATACGTGTGAGCCCCTTTCCCACATTCCGAACTGCGATATTGCAAGGTGCACGGATGGGGAAATTCATTCTTGGGCAGAACATCTGGTCTGTGTCTTGATCGATCGCTGAAGAGTTTCAACGTGTTCATTGCTCCGAGACATGTTGACACTTGCATAGGATTCTCAGCCCAGAATCAATTGACATTGAGGCTGCTCAGCTTGCCCTCCCTGAGATAATGCCACCTAAGGAGAGATAGCCTCCCTGCACCGCGCGACGGCACGCCCTCAATAGTTCAGCCTCCACTGGATCTGGTCTCGACCTTTATCTCAGAGCCAGCCGCACAAGGGTAAGCGATCACTATTGAACAGCACATCAATTACCTATTCGCGAGCGGACTGCTAATGTCCGACCCCCTGTACTGGGGAAATGATGCGAGGTTGACTCTGATATTTTTGGCTACATTTGGCACAGCGACGACTGCTGAGTGGGCGGTGAGAATGACCATCACGTTGCTTGATTGGAACAAACACTTGTAGGTGGCGCCTTTAATTGAGTCCCTGAGAGGAGAGCAGCGTCCATCGATCCAGCGATGTAACCCCAATTCGCCCAAAGTGACGGGACTCTTTTGTCACTCTTTGTTTGCCCAATATTACCGATTATTCTCGTCGCTACTGTCCTGACCTGTCCTGACCCGACCCGACCCTCAAATTGGGGGGTTGGATTTTGAGACACCCAAGTTTTTCCGCCCACGCTATGAAACATGGTGCTGAGCGAAACAAGTTTCCGTCGGAATTCGTTACCCTTCTCTATCAACCTCGATATCGATACGGATAACCTGCCTCGACTTGTGACTTATACGCGCTTCTTATCCAGGTGCAGTGATGTGGGCGTGATATTCCCTCTGGGTGTCGCGATACCTCGGTTACTATCATCTCTTGGCTCACCTATATCCTGCAGGTTGTTATGAGTTCCCACCCAGAAGCAGCCTCCGTAACTGCACGTGGTGATGATTCGCAAGGTTATCAGCGGGCACGGTCCCTTGTAATGGGGCCATGAGCTGCATGTCAACACGAGTTGCTCATCAAACATGCAGCTATCTCCACGTTAGTAACGGTGTGCTCTCTCCGATCAAGGCATTCCCTCTCGGCGTGCATGTGTATGCATATCCAAAGTACAACCGCACCAGGCAATGGGGTTGGGGTGAATTCAAGACGGCTACGGCCAATATGCGAAGGAACCATGGCTTCAGAACTCGGTTCGCAGTGCTTTCCGTGAGTGGTGACGCCTACATGTCTTGGCCTCTAGGGGTGGCATGGCCGCTCTACCTGCGGCCCTATCGCTTTAGGCAACGTGCTTTATCGCAAGGACCCTTCATGTCAACCTGAAGGAGGGATACACCATGCGGATACCGAAGAGGCGCAGAGCTCGGTGTTAATCGTTACATCCATTGAGCAACTCTAGGCACTGTTGTGAAGCTTTGCAGTTGCATTGTTCAAAATACCGCTCTGCAGACGTCAGCTCGCATGATGGGCTTATAGTTCTCCAGTTCTCTGTTGGTTACGAACATGAACAACTCAAGTTCATGATGTTACGGGGGCGTATTGTTAGATCATCATATCATGATCGACATCTGGCTATGGAAGTTATCAGGCGTCAGGGTATGTCTGTTGGTTGAGCATCCAGAGCACGTACACCTGATCGTCCTTGGCTTTAACTCAGACGTGCGCCTTGCGATGGATGATAGATTGCAGGGAGCTTCGACTTCGAGAGACAGGGTATGTATGCTAGCGACTCTGTATCAGATCGGCCCGCTGCGGGTCCTAGATATGCTGTCGATCAACAACCTGCGACATCTTGTCCGGTGTTCAGGTTTGAGGGCCTACAACAT